AATTATTGGCAACTGCCAGTTGACATGTGTGAAATGTACAGTCCAAATATCTTTTCTTATAATCATAGTTCTTTCTAAATTTTCATTTTGTTAATTAGTACAGAAATAAGCCCATTTTTCAAAAGACAAAAATTATAAATGAGAAAAATATTTAGCCATTTCTCCCTGCACAGTACTTAGTGGAATTCACTTGAAATTCAGCCCTTTTCCCCTTCCAAATCTCAGCAAAAATAAGATTCGGGGAAACTTCAGTATTATCTGAAGACTGTGTACCAACTGACTCAGTTATGACTTGGCTTTCAGCAGAGTGAGTATGCAAATTTCTTGTAACACAGATTTTATGTGCACCTGGCAGAAAGTGGGTTGAATGGTACAACACCTAATGGCAGGTAGATGAAAAGAACTGAAAATTTTTTCAGTTCCGTCTGTTCATGAATCTAGATGTAACAGGAAAATAATGGGTAAAATCAGGCTAAAGACACTTCCTCAATTTTCAAATAATACAATTACGAAGTGTCCCTTACTTCCCCAGGAACAAAATATTAAAAAGCAGAATTACCTTGTATTTTTTGTTGAAAATACTGCAACACAAATAGAAAGGTTACTGAAAAATGACATCTAACAATGAAATTATACTTTGCAACTTTGTTTCAAGGCACCTAGCGGAGGCCAGGTTGACAATAAGCACAAAATAATACATACTGACTACAAAGAACTGTAATATAAGTAATACATATGAACTGAAATATTCTCTTTAATCCCTTAAAGAGGCATAAGGGTATAAGATTTCTATGTAAATACCTAAAAATAAAAGAATATAATCATTTATTTATACAGTTAAGTATTCATAAAATTTTTTAATTCTAAATAAGAATTACATTTACATGACATTAAATACTTTCAGTAAAATATTTCATAAAATTTGAGAAAAAACTTTGTGACCACATTCCTATATGCAGTGCTCATCTGTTTATACCTATAGATAGAAAATCGTGAGATACAGTCTTGAAAAATTTATTTCTTCTTCTTGAGGCACTCAGAGAAAGGTTAAAAAAAAGGGGGGGGGCATGGATTATTCTTTAGCCTAAACAAAAGTCATGTTTAATCTTACTCAAAACAACATAGATTGTACCAGCTGAGTATTCTCATTCTTTTAAAAAGTATCTCATTATCATCAGTTGAGCCAGAACAGATTAGTTACAAAGGTAAGCCTAATTTTTTATAGAAAACTTTTTAAATAAATACAAATTTCAAAAGTACAACTTTTGGATTACAGCAGTTTTTTCCCTAATAACCTCCCTCCCACCCACAAACCATCCCATCTCCTACTCCCTCTCCCATCCCATTCTTCATTAATTATCTTTATATACAGAAGATCAACTTAGTATATACTAAGTAAAGATTTCAACAGACTGCACCCACAAAAACACACAAAGTATAGACTACTGTCTGAAGACAAGTTTTACCATTAATTCTCATAGTACAACACATTAAGGACAGAGGTCCTATATGAGGAGCAAGTGCATAGTGACTCCTGTTGTTGATTTAACAGCTGACACTCTTATTTATGACGTCAGTAATCACCCAGGCTCTTGTCATGAACTGCCAAGGCTATGGAAGCCTCTTGAGTTCACAAACTCCGACCTTATTTAGATAAGGCCATAATCAAAGTGGAAGTTTTCTCCTCCCTTCAGAGAAAGTTACCTCCTTCTTTGATGGCTCCTTCTTTCCACTGGTCTCTCACTCACAAAAATTTTTCATTTAGGCAATTTTTTGCCATAGTGTCTTGGCTTTCCATGCTTGAAATACTCTCATGGGCTTTTTAGCCAGATCTGAATGCCTTCAGGCTCATTCGGAGGCCAGAGCGTTGTTTAGCGCATTTGCCACTCTATGAGTCTGCTGTGTATCCTGCTTCCCATGTAAGATCATTCTCTCCTTTTTAATTCTATCAATTATTATTAGCAGACACTGGTCTTATTTATGTGATCCCTTTGACACTTAATCTTATCTTTATGATCAGTTATGAACTTAAACAGATCACTTTAACTAGTAAGATGGCATTGGTACCTGCCAACTAAGCCTAATTTTAAAAGCACACATAAAAAACTGAAGACACAGGGTCGTAACTATGGCATAATAGGTTAAGCCTCTACCTGCGACTCCAGCATCCCATATGGGTGCTGGTTCCAGACCTGGCTGCTACACTTCCAATGCAGCTCCCTGTTAATGCACCTTGTTAAGCAGTGGATGATGGCCCAACTACTTGGGACTCTGAACCCACATGGGAGACCTAGAATAAGCTCCTGGCTCTTGGGTTCGGCCTGCTCCAGCCCTGGCCGTTGTGGCCATTTGGGAAGTGAACCAGCAAATGGAAGATCTCTGTCTGTCTGTACCTCTCTTTCTAACTCTGCCTTTTGAATAAATAAGAAATAAATTTTAAAAAACCTGAAGAGACTTTTAGCAATGTACAGGGAAATACATATCGATTCAATTATTACTGGGCACCTATTAGGTGAAAAGTACCATGCAAAGTGCAATGGTAGAACTAAGAAGTAAAGCATTCAGTCTCCAGCATTAGTTACAAACCTAAGACCACTGTGCAATAAGATTCAAAAAGCAACATATGCTTACATAGCAAATTAGTAACTTAATAAAATCTGAGAAAAGATTACATTCAAGTAAGTTATTTTGAAGAAAATTAGGGTAGTTTTTACCATGTTACTCAGATTTTTGAAATTATTTTTAGAAAGAAGTAGTAGTAGTAGGGCTACAACTTCTCATTATTCAGCTCCTCCAACTTAAGAGGAGGGAAAAGGAAAAACTGGGTAAGAATTTAGACTAAATGATCACTAGGGTCACTTCTATAGCTGTATACTTCTCTTTTTTAGATTGTTTTATTTGCTGAAAAAGGAATATATATAGAGAGAGACAGAAATATCACCCATTTACTAGTTCACTCCCCAAATGCCTGCACAGTCAGGGCTCGGGCCAGGCAGAAGCTGGAAGCTGTGAATTCAATTTGGTTCTCACATGTGGGTGGTAAGAACACAATTACTTGAGCCATCAACTGCTACTTCTCAGGGTACACATTAGCAAGAGGCTGGAACCCGGAGAAGAGCCAGGACTTGAACTCAGGCACCCTGATATAGGATGTGAGTGTCACAGCAGCATCATAACTGCAAGCCAAATGCCCAGTCCCTACAGTTTTTCTTATGGAAAGAATGAAATCTGTAATACAATGTGTGAAAACAAGCTCATAAAATACCAAATTACTGTCGAAGACAATGATTTTCAGACTCTCATGAACATCTAACTAAACTTGCTAATTTGTTAAACTGTACAGATTCCTGTACACTATGTCAAACATTTGGAATCAGAATTTTTGAAGGTGTAGTTAGGGCATTTGCACATTGAGTAAACACCTACAGGTGACTTTGATGCAGAGCCAAGTGTGAGAAGTGTTAGAGGGTTAAGCACATAATCTTCAGTGGCAAGGAAACCAAATTTCAAATGTCAATTCTGATACTTAATAGGGCTGGGACCAACAATGAGGCTCCCTAACACTATTTTCTAATTTATAAAAAGGGAGAAAAGCCACCTATACCTCAAGTAATTGTTGTGAGGATTGACAATGATGATGCATGTAAAATGCTTAGTACAATTCCTGGCATATTTAGTAAGTGTTCAGTGAATTCATTCATTGAATATTCAGTAATCACTTAGATGGTATAGACGAGGAACATCTTATTAATTTATTAAGAATTAATAAATATTACAACTCTGCAATGGTGTCATGAGAATCAAGGGAACCTATTCTAATCAGGAAAGTCTCCCCTGAGATGCACTGAATGATGAATTGGTATTGGATAAAAAAGGAAAGGAAGAGGATTTCCATGCTCTTGGAGATATTCAGGAAGTATCATAACCAAAAGAAATCATACACCTGAAGCTGAGAACACAAAAGAGGACAGGGCAGCAAGAGAAAGGAAGTGTAAGGAATCACCTCGGCCCAGAGGTTAGAAAGGCAATCAGGAGCCAACCTTACAGGAGCCACCTTGTAAGGCACATTAAGGATTTAGGTTTGTCGTAAAAAGAAGCCACTGAAGGATTTTAAACACAAAAACGACGTGTTTAGATTTGCATTGTGAAAAGGCTACTCAGCCTGGTGTGGAACAAACACTGTAGAAACCACAGAAGATGCAGTAGACTATCATCAGGAGGCTACTAGAGGAGTACACATGAGACACAGTGGTAACTGGAACTAGAGAACCAGTGCTGAAGAAGAGTACACAGACCTAACAGGCAAAATCAACAGGACCTCATGAGAGACTGAGAATGACCATGAGAAAGGAACTACCAAACTCCAACTCCTAGAGAGATGGGGATGCTACTCAATGAGTAACAACACAATAAAAGGACCTGTTTCTTCCCATGGTGTGGAGGATGTTAGATCATGAATTTCAAATACATTAGTATGAGTAGTTATTCACAATTATAGGATTAATTTGTCCAGAAAAATTCCATTGTACGGAAGCACACTGTGCCTGTATTTATTTTGCTGTGGTGTTTACGGATGTTAGAGACAAAACAATAGGTTTTTGCATTTGGGTAAAGAAGGTCTTAACAGAATGAAGGTGCTTATCTTCCATTAGGTTCCTTTCCTTTACAAAGTCCCCCAAAAGCATCTCTAGGGTACTATAATGTTGACTCAAGAAATAATTTTTATATAAGCCATTACATTTTTGAAAAATATTTATACGAAAAAATGACAGGAAGCCAAACCAAAAAGCAAACAATGCCTGCAAGGCCCCTCACTAGACAGGCTCACGTTTTACAATGGCAGACTGGTTTATAGCATTTTCATTTCAAACCATTGGCTTCCCAGAACTAACACATGCTACTTAGAAAACTTCTTACTCATGGAATCCATTTTTTTTTTAAAGCATCACCGTACAAATAATTCCTGAATTTGACCTACATAATACTAGTTGGCAACTTACAATTAAATCACTACTTGGCATAACACTTTTAAGTCGCTTGAGTCTGGAGTCTCACCAAGTCTGTTACAGGGGTAGCACTGACAATATTGGTCCCCCGGATCACTGACCACAGGTATACGTTCAGCTGGATCCCCAGAAGTTCTTCCAAGCTCCTACGCTCTAAACCTTCCTCCATCCGTTCTCTCTCGCTTAGCAAACACAGGAGTGCAGGAGCCACCGACGGGGTTTCCAGTCTTAGCAAAACATCTGCCCCACCCACCTCACACACAATAACCTTCCCTTCCAGAACTACAGCTGCTGTCAGGGAAGGAGGCTGGAGGGAGGGCCCGGCTGGAGACCCAGGTTACCGGAGCCAGATCTCAGAACTGAGGGGAGCTGTCTCACCCAGCCCCAGGGCAGTGTCCAGTTTCCCAAAAGGGTACCGAGATCTCCACTACGGAAACCCGAGCTCCGGAACCCGCGTCGGGGATTCTCCCTCGGACAGACGACTCCAGTCCCAGGTCTCCCTACTCCTCCAGGCCTCTTTCAGGGGCACTCGGTCCTCTCGGATCCGCTCCCCTAGGATCGCCGTTTCCCCCGCCCGGCTTCGCGCGGCCCGCCCGGCCCGCAGCCTGCACACCGTCACCAGGCAACAGTGGCCAGCCCGGGCGGCCCCCTGAGGCCTACGCCAGGCGCGGGTCCTTCCCCGTTCCCTCCTCGCCAGTGTTGAGAGCCAGGGGAGAGCGCGGCCTCGAGACAGACCGCTCGGAGCTAGTGGCCACTCACCTCTTTCCTCTCTCCTGGGAGGGGCGGTGCTGGGGCTCGGTCCCCCCGCCCCCCTAAAAGCCACCTGCCTGTCCCCGCTCAGCCTCCGCGACTGGCCGCTGTCGCCGGCTTACTCCATAGCCTCTGCTACCCCCGCGGCCGCAAAGGCTGGAGCTGGAGGAGGAAAGGGGGAGGGGAGGGGAGGGACTGGGGAGGAAGAGTAAGGGAGGGGGAAGAAGACAGAAAGACCTGCCGGCCAGGGCATGACGTCACTTCCGGCTGTTTCGGAAGGGGCGGGACCCGAGCTTTTCTCCGCCCCTTTAGTCAGGTGGAGGCGGGACTAGGGGCTTGGACAGCCTCCGGCGCCTACGCTTAATGGCGGTTCTTTTGACTCCTCGGTTCCGCCACCTTGGCAGCCAGAATGAGCTTGCGGGTACAGGCCGGAGCGGTCGGAGTTCCGTTGTCCCTAGAGGTGGCTCCTGCCGGAAAAGGAAGACAGGTAGCCTAGATCCTAGCCCAGTGGACAGTGAAGGCCCGGGGTGGGGGGCGGCTAAGGGGAGCGGGCGGTGTGGACTCTGCTCCGCGCTCCGGGACCACGCCCCTTTCCTGCCCGTGCCACCTGCCCGCCCGGGCTCCGGACATCGGACGCTGGGCTCCGGGTTTTCGGGGGTTACTCTCGTGATGAAGTGCCCTTGGAAAGTCCGGGCTAGCGTGTTTTTCAAACGAACTTGCATGCGAAGCACCTGGGGACCTTATTAAAAATGCAGGTTCTGATTCAGGAGGAGTGTTTGCCTTTCTGCGTTTCTAGATGACGTCCATGCCGTTGTTCCCCAGGCTACGCTTAGCGACAAGGGCATCTAGCTTCCTTGTTTGATGTAAGTGGCGAGGGAGTTTGTTCGCAGAACATACATACCTGTCTCCACCTCTCAGCCTCCCGCCCCCATCGAAATCTCCCCACTTCTGCTGCACTCCCACCACCCAACCCACCCCTCTGTGTCCTCACTGTCCGCTGTGTCTGGGGCTAAGATTTCTAAGATGGACAGTTTCAGTTACAAAAGGATTTTTTGAGGTTGATAGACTTTTATTTCTGTCACTTTGTTATAAATAGCAGGCTATTATGTAAAATCACGCATCGAAGTTATGTCCAGTTATCCATTGCCAAGGGAGGGGAAAACTTAAATTCTTTGATTATATGGACCAAAATATTTAGAAGCAACATTCTAGATAATTCAGTTTTTCCCCTTGTAATTCCTAAAAATTAAAAATTTACTGGGATGAGGGAATGGGAGTGACTGCTAATTTAGGGGGGCTTTCTGAAGTGGAATGTTCTAGAATTACATAACAATAATTGCACAACTTTGTGAATGTACTAAAAATACTGAATTTAATGGTGAAGTTTATGGTGCGTGAATTATAGCTCAATGAAAACGCTTTACTGTCTGCAATTAAATTTTTAAAAAGAGAACATTCGTATATGCACATTATACAGGTCCAAAATCATGGAATAAAGAGTGAGCATCCTCTTTTACCATCACCATTGCAAACCTACTTCAGAAAAGTTACTGAAGTTTATCCTCCCAGATCTCTCTATTTATTTATATATAGGTTGCCAATTAATTTCTATCTAAATAGGATTATAGTATTGAATTGTTATTTTCAGCATGTTGGTTGTTTTAATTTTTATTTTTCAGAAGTTCTTTTCCCTTCTCAATGTGAGTCTTCCATGCTATAAGCATCACTTGATTTCATTCATTTTAATACCATAGTAAGACTATACCATTATTTATTTAACTATTCCATATGGAATAGGCATTTTGATTGTTTCTATTTTTCCTTATTTTTCATTAAAGTTTTTGTCTTATCAAGAACAGCTGACATGTGATTGGTTTTATTCAGTGTGTACCCAGATCTCTTTGATCAGGCAGGCAAAAAGAAAACAGAAAAAGAGCGCATTGAAGCCACAGCTCTGTAGTGATCAATTGAAATGTATTTGTGTTCCTTTTAAACGTGTTCTGAATACTCTTCAAAATTAAGTATAGCTAGTAGTTAATCATGTAATGTTACAGGTATATATATTCACATACTAATATATTTTGCATCAATTAAGCAAGTTCCTAGAAATATATGCAAATTTTATAAACATAATGAATTACATAAATTGGGAAATAAAACTTAAGAAATATGTTAGCAGCAGATATACCATCAAAAAAGCATAAGGTTGTCTAATCTGAAAAGTTTACATAGCTTTGTGTAATCTAAATTTGTTAGAAGCATATATTTATTACATATATTTTTTCAGGTTGCTCTGGTCCTTTTCAAGCTACTCAGCTGTGGGATGGTATTGTTCACTCCCTTCAGACCCAAGTGGAAATAAAAAGGAGGAGACATCATTTACGAACATACAAAGACTGTTTTACTGGTTCTGATGCTGTTGATGTAGTATTAAGTCATCTTATGCAAAATGTGTGCCGAAGTAGCAATGACCTCTCTCGTCTTAAAGGAGTTCATCTTTGCCAACTTCTAATGAATCATAAAGTGTTTGAACCGGTAGGAATGAAGCTATTCAAAACTGAAAAGGAACTGGAATTTGAAGATTCCAACAATAGTCTCTACAGGTTTCTAGGCAATAAATCATCTAATGTTTTTTGCAAAAGAAAAAAGGATGCTGAGAATGAGCTGATTGGTGAAATAAAAGCAAAAAATCCTTTAAGGTTAGTATTAATGAAAATGTTGTAATATATTGTGTTTAGACTGTGGAAAAACTATATTCATTGAACCAAATGTGAATATTATTCTACCAGTTTTTTCAAAGTCAGCTTTTTAAAAGCTGTGTATAAATTAATCCACTTTTTCATTTGCTCTAAATCTGTTACAGAGAACATTGTCACAAAATTTTTCAAAATTTATACCAGGAAAAACTTTATATCCTCTGAAGAATTGATAGGCTTTCAAATTTTGAAAGTTGACTTAGCCAGTATAGTAAAAGGCCCGTGTCATGGCACAGTGGGTTAAGTTGCAGCCTACAATACTGGCATCCCTCGTCAGAATGCTGGTTCAAGTTCTGGCTTCTCTACTTCCCATCTAGCTCCCTGCATTATAATATGCCTGGGAAAGTAGCAAAAAATGGCACAAGTACCTGGGCTCCTGCTACTTACTTGGGAGACCTGGATGGAGTTCCTGGCTTCTGGCTACAGGCTAGCCCAGACCTGGCTATTGCAGCCATTTTGGGAGTGAAGCAAATGATAGAAGATCTCTTTCTCTGCATCTTACCTCTCTCTTTGTCACTCTGCCTTTCAAATAAATGAAATACACCTTTTTTTTTTTTTTTTTTTTGACAGGCAGAGTGGACAGTGAGAGAGAGACAGAGAGAAAGGTCTTCCTTTTGCTGTTGGTTCACCTTCCAATGGCCGCCACAGCCGGCGCATCGTGCTGCTCCGAAGCCAGGAGCCAGGTGCTTCTCCTGGCCTCCCATGCGGGTGCAGGGCCCAAGCACTTGGGCCATCCTCTAATGCACTCCCTGGCCACAGCAGAGAGCTGGCCTGGAAGAGGGGCAACCGGGACAGAATCCGGCGCCCGACCGGGACTAGAACCCGGTGTGCCAGTGCTGCAAGGTGGAGGATTAGCCTAGTGAGCCGCGGCGCCGGCCCAATACACCTTTTTAAAAAGGTAAAGGAATCTGTGGAAACTCAGAGGAAAATTTTTCTACTGGATCACAGTAATTATGTTAACCTTAGAATTAGCATGTATTTAGAATCCTAGTTTATCCTCTTTCGGTTATAGTCTATTCATTTGTTACTTATATCTCCTATTGTAAGGTGTCAGAAATCCTTTTTGGAGAGAAGAAATGTATGAATAAATTTTAGGCCGGCGCCGCGGCTCACTAGGCTAATCCTCCGCCTAGCGGCGCCGGCACACCGGGTTCTAGTCCCGGTCGGGGCGCCGGATTCTGTCCCGGTTGCCCCTCTTCCAGGCCAGCCCTCTGCTGTGGCCAGGGAGTGCAGTGGAGGATGGCCCAGGTGCTTGGGCCCTGCACCCCATGGGAGACCAGGAAAAGCACCTGGCTCCTGGCTCCTGCCATCGGATCAGCGTGGTGCGCCGGCCGCAGCGCGCCGGCCGCGGCGGCCATTGGAGGGTGAACCAACGGCAAAGGAAGACCTTTCTCTCTGTCTCTCTCTCTCACTGTCCACTCTGCCTGTCAAAAAAAAAAAAAAAAAAAAAAAAAAAAATTTTAATGGATTTGTTATAATGCATATTTGAAATTTTGGACTTGTGCATAATGAAAAAGCTTACATATTATTTTTTAGCAGATCAGAAGATGAAATGATTTCTAATCCTCTAGCACATGGGCTCTGTGGAGAAAGAACTGAGGAACTTATTCATACAATGAGTGGGAATCTGCATTTACCTCCAAATATCATTATTAATGAACCCATTCTCCAGCTTTCGAAAGAAGGTAATCTCAGTTCGCATTATTATTTTGAGAACTTTGTAATGAAGAGCTGACTTTTTTTTTTTTTAAAGTAAACATGTTCAGAGCAATTTCAGGTTCATAGCAAAATGTAGCAGAAAGTAGAGTTCTCATACCCCTGCCCACTAGTACAAAGCCTCTCTAATTATCAACATCATGCACCAGAGTGATATCTACAAGGGCACTTCAAAAAGTTTGTAGAAAATGAAATTAAATGATAAGTTTGTTTTGGTACAAAAAAGTTTGAAATCCATGCATATGAGGTATCTTCAAGAATTCTGTTCAGGAGAAATACATATGAAAACACTATGGATGGACTGCATATTTTTTGCACCAAAGTAAACTTGTCTTTTAATTCTGTTGTTTCCAAACTTTTTGAAGTACTTCCTTCTGTTAATTAATTAATGAACCTACACTGACACATCCTTAGTAACCAAAGCCCATAGTTTGCACTAGGACCCACTTTTCGTGTTGTATATTCTGAGTTTGGAAAAATGCATGATGACATGTATCTTACAGAATACTTTCGCAGCCCTAAAAATCCTTTAAACTTCATCCATTCATTCCTCCCTTCCTTCTACCTTGGCAACCACTAATATTTTTACTGGTTGCAAGAACTGTTTAGCTGTGATAAACACATGTGTATGTTGTGTTGACTCTCAGCTTCTCGTCCCTGTGAGAGCTTCCTTCTAGATAGCGGTTACACCAGTCAAGACAGGTGAAGCAACATAGATCCAATAATAGTTGTAATGACCATGACCAAATTAATTGGAGGTGTTATAATCTATACTGTCAGAGAAAACACGCAGACTCAGTGCCAGTCTCTATAATTTGTAATCCAAGAAATCTTATGAATATCTCTTGTCAGTTGTATAAATTCATCCCAAACATCTCCCTGCTCTTTCTCTTTCTCAAACATATTAGCTAGACTACCTATTGTTTCACTCCTCTTTATTGTTCAATTCGTCTACTTGATGACAGTCCCATAGTCAGTTCTATTAGGATGCATATACATACAGTTCATCAGTGGTTCCATGGTTTACTGCCATTGGTTAATGTTTTGCACACTGGAGGGTCATGGTTTATCAGCAATAGTTAAGATAGGTGTGAGAGGGGAAATAAAAGTTAGCCAAAGAAAGGGTGTAGAATGAGAAGGGAACTAGAAGACAACTCTGAGGAAAACTAGAATTTGGAGCACAAGCAGAAAATGAGCCAACAAAAGTATGTTATTCATCTATTACAAGGAAAAAATAACTTTTCCCATTATTTCTCCTTGGAAACACAGAAATTCCTAAGTATAGATGAATGCAATTCATCAGAAATGTACTAATGAGAATAATTTTCACTTATTGGCTTTTCTCTATGTTAAACAATTTGTTAGGCATTTTATATTTGTTATCTATAATCTCACAGTGGGCCTATAAAGTGAGGGATTAAACTCATATTTTGCAGTTGGAGAAACTGAGAATTAGAAGGCTCACATTTTAAAAGAATAAAAAGATACAGGATGGAAAGAATGTTGGCACTTTTATGTAATTTTTTGGTTTTTAACTTATTTGTGAGACAGGGTGAGGGAGAAAGCGAGCTCCCATTCATTGGTTAATTCTCCAAATGTCTAGAACAGCTAAGGCTGAGTTGGAGCCATATCCAGAAGCCAAGAATATAATCCAGATCTCTCCCACATGGGTGGCAGGTAGCAGTAACCTAACTACTTGAGCATCACTGTTGCCGCCTCCCACAGTCTGTATTGCTATGAATCTATTGTCAGGAGCCAGAGGCAGGCTATCATCTTCTTCTTCTTTTTTTTTTTTTTTTTTTTTTTTTAAGATTGATTTGTTAGGCAGAGTGACACAGGGAGGGAGAGACAGAGAGAAAGAGGAGAGAGATCAGTCTCCCAATCCTGGTTGGCCACAATGGCTGGGGCTGAGCCAGGTGGAAACCAGGGACCAGGAGCTGCATCTCGGTCTCCCACAAGGGCTGCAGGGTCCTTACCACTCGGGCCATTAGCACGGAGCTGGATCAGAAGTGGAGCAGCTGGGCCAGGAACAAGTGACCATATGAGATGCTGGCATCACAAGCGGCTTAACCCATCGCACAACGATGCCAGCACCAAGGGATGTGGGTATCTTAACTTCTGTAAAACCTTCAAATAGCTCCGTAAGTTTTGTTTTAAAAAAGAATGGCAGCTCCCTACTCTTGTCCTCTCACCCATTTCCTCTTCCTCAGAGATAGCCATTTACAACTCACATCTCGAAATAGCATGTTTACATTACTACTTCATGATTTTGCAATTTTAGGCACATCTACTTTCCACAAATGAAGATGGGGTTTGAGCTTCTTTCCTTCCTTTTTTCGATCTCAGAAACACTTTTCCATCCCCTTCATTTTCCAAGTATAATTAGAAGATTAATGAGAGGAATAAGCTATGTTTATGCAATTTTGGCCAAAAATTATATTCAAAGATAATATATGTGTGAACACTATATACTGACAATTTCAACATAAAATTGTTAAATAGAATTACTGCAATTGATGTTTTAAAGTGCTGTGTGACTATAGTAAATGCAAAATGAGTTAAAGATGATTAAAAATGATGATTATGTGAATGCCCAGTTGAAAATTTTTTTTAAAGATTTATTTTATTTATTTGAAAGGCAGTTGCAGAGAGAGAGAGAGAGAGAGAGAGACAGAGAAAGAGAGAAAGAGAAAGTCTTCCATCTACTGGTTCACTCCCCAAATGGCCACAACAGCTGGAGCAGGGCTGGTCCAAAGCTAGAAACCGGGAGCTTCTTCTAGGTCTCCCACATGGGTGCAGGGGCCCAAACACTTGGGCCATCCTCTGCTGTATTCCCAGGCACATTAGCAAGAAGCTGGATTGGAAGTGAAGCAGGCAGGACTTGAACTGGCGCCCATGTGGGATGCCAGTGATGCAGGCAGCGGCTTAACTTGTTATGCCACAACAGCAGCCCCTAAAATTATTTTTTAACTTGGTTAAAATTTCTTTTTTTTTTAAGATCTATTTATTTGAAATTCAGAGTTACACAGAAAGAGAAGCAGAGGCAAAGAGAGAGAGAGGTCTTCCATCCGCTGGTTCACTCCCTAGTTGGCCACAAGGGCTGGAGCTGCACCATTCCAAAGCCAGGAGCCAGGAGCTTCTTCTGGGTCTCCCATGCAGGTGCAGGGGCCCAAGGACTTGGGCCATCCTGTACTGCTTTCCCAGGCCACAGCAGAGAGCTGGATCGGAAGTGGAGCAGTTTGGACTTGAACTGGTGCCCACATGGGATGCTGGCACTGCAGGTGGCAGCTTTACCTGCTACATCATGGGAGATAATTTTTTTGTTTATGTCTCTAAAAATTTTTTTATGCTAGCCTCTTATTTTATTGACAGTTGGAATCCTAGGTTGCAAATTTCCCAAGAATTTTTAAGGTATTTCACGACTGTCTTTTGGCTTCTCGTGTTGATGTTTCTAAAGCCATCTCTCTTTTTTAAAAGATTTGTTTATTTGAAAGACAGAGTTACATATAGAGGGAGAGAGACAGAGATACAGATCTTCTATCTACTGGTTCACTTCCCAAATAGCTGCAATGACCAGGGTTTGTTCAGGCTGAAGTCAGGAGCTCTATTCGGATTTCCCATATGGGTGGCAGAGGCCCAAGCACTTGGGCCATCTTTCACTGCTTTCCTGGGGAACGCTAGCAGGAAACAGGATTGGAAGTAGAGCAGTTAATATGTACAGGCAGTGCTTAACTTGCTGCCTTGAAAGCCATTCTGATTAATCATTCTTCATATCCGATTGTTCCATCTCTACCCCTGACATTTACAGGATTTTTTTTTTCTCCCAAGCTTTCAGAAATTCTAAACTACTGTACTTGAAGTGAATTTGTTTTCATTCACTGGGCTTATTTCAATCTAGAAATTTTCTTGGATTATTTCCTTGATAATCTTACTGATTTCCTTCCAACTTTATTTTCTTCTTTCTAATTTTAATCTCTTATTCGGATACTGTACCTTCTTAACTAGTCTCTAATTTTCATATATTTTTTCTCTTATTATCCATCCTTTTGTTACTTTGGTTTTACTACAAGGAGGTTTCTTCAAATTTATCCTCCAGCCTTCCTATTAATAACTAAAAGCTCATTTTATGTTCTTAGAATTTCCTTTTTCATGGCATTCTGTTCTTGTTTCATGGTTGCTGTTTTGGTTACCTCTATAACCCTGGTACCTAGACCAGTGACCAACACAAAATAATCCTCAAAAAATATTTATCAAATGAATGAATGAATATTCTGTCTTGGTGCTCTTGCAGATGAGTGTTTTCCCCCCTGCTTTTTGATTAACTCATATCTATTTATATTAATTGGTAACTTGATAAAATTTTTCTTCAGTATTTTCATAAGTGGCTATCCTTGCCTTCTTAGTGTGTAACTGCTTGTGGCTCACTATTTGTTGTGTTGTTTTTGTAGTACCTAGTTCAATGCCCTTCCCAAAGAAGGGTATAGAACAAATGTAGGCCATTTGTTTGACTAGAGACTATTTGTGATCTTAAGTCTTTACCAAAATATGTTAATTCTTTAGGAAGCAGGCAGATCAGAAAGTCATTAAGTATTCAATTATCAGACACAGAGGAAAAAACTATATATAATGAAATTTTTTCTTGAAATATGTTGCCCATTGAGGTTTTATTTTTCTTTTATCACTTAACATAGAAATATAAGTGGGAAGTCAATTTTTACTGTAGCAAAAACAACAGGACAATTGCAGCTGACACTAAGTTTCACTGTATGCAATAGAGTTGGTAGTGATGGGGTTTATGGTGAACTGTAACTGACTTGCCAATATAGAGGGAGTTGCCTTAATTTTACTTCAGCTGATTTGGGCCAGGTATTAATTTAGGCCCAGTGCTGAGAGATTTTATGATTTTTAATAGACAATTGAAACCCAGAATTTTATGTGAAATCTCCAATTTTTAGTTTTTTTTTAAAAAGATGTTTTATTTATTTGAAAGTCGGAGTTACACACAGAGAGAAGGAGAGGTAGAGGCAGAGAGAGAGAGAGGTCTTCCATCTGCTGGTTCACTCCCCAATTGGCCACAACAGCTGTGCTGATCCAAAACCAGGAGCCAGGAACCAGGAGTTTCTTCCGGGTCTCCCACACAGGTACAGGGACCCAAGGAATTGGGCCATCTTTTACTGCTTTCCCAGACCACAACAGAGAGCGGGATTGGAAGTGGAGTAGCCAGGACTTGAACCCGTGCTCATATGCGATGCCAGCACTGCAGGCAGTGGCTTTACCTGCTACGTCACAGTGCTGGCCCCACAAGTTAGTTTTTTAAAAGTACTTTATAACTGGGGTGGGTGTTTGGCTTTATGGTTAAAATACCAGTTGCATTGTCACATCCCATATCAAAGGGCCTGGTTTAAGCCCTGGCTCCTCTGCTTCTTGCTAATGCATATCCTAGGAGGTAGCAGATGATAGCTCAAGTATTTGTGTCCCTGCCACCCCCACATGGGAGACCTGGATTGAGTTCTGGGCTCCTGGATTCAGTCTGACCCAGTCATAGCTGTTATGGGCATTTGGAGAATTAATTAACAGATGAAATATGTCTCTGTTTCTCTCCCTTTCAAATAATAAGTAAAGATAAATAAACAAAAACAATCCAAGTACTTTATAACCAAACAAATTCTGACAATGGATCAAGTTTAGTCCATAGGGCACTTATTTGAGAGCTCTGCAATAGATTTACCATAGCTTTTGCTTTTGTAATTTTTTGAATTAAAAGAGAAAATAACTTAGTATATACTAAATTGATCTTCTGTATATAAAGATAATTGAAAATGAATCGATGTGAATGGAATGGGAGAGGGAGTGGGAGATGGGATGGTTGTGGGTGGGAGGGAGGTTATGGAGGGGAAAAACCGCTATAATCCAAAAGTTGTACTTTGGAAATTTATATTTATTAAATAAAAGTTTTAAAAAAGAGAAAGTAAAACATTGACCATGATCTGATTGTTAGTGTGATTCAGAATTTAATTAATAACAGAAATGATCAGAAAACCAAGTTAAAATTAACTTAATACTATATTTTAATTTTAAAACAATACTAGTTATCTGCATTTTCTTAAATAGAAAGTAATTAGTATTTTCTTACTCTCTCAGCTATGTAAAATAACTTGTGTGACTAGTAGTATTTTGTATTTGGAAATAACCTAAGGGTAGCTTTAAAGTCTAGATGATAACACTATTTAATCAAGATACCCAAAAAATAAAGTCAATATTGCTCATGGAGTTAACTGTAAAACTAGTTCTCAAACAGTTTTTTTGTATGTGTGTGCAAATTGTTAAAATTTTTAAACAAGATAAGAGTCGGAGAACTCAGAGGGCTTCCATAGCCTTGGAAACTCATGACTGGAGCATAGGGAGATTACTGATGCCATAGACAGGAGTGTCAATTGGTAAAGTCAACAACAGGAGTCACTGTGCACTTACTCCTCATGTAGGATCTCTATCCTTAATGTGCTGTACATTGAGATTTAATGCTATAACGAGTACTCAAACAATATATTTCACTTTGTGTTTCTATGGGGGTGCAAACTGTTGAAATCCTTACTTAATGCATACTAAACTGATCCTCTGTAAAAAAAAAAAAAAGAAAAAAAAGAAAAAAAAAAAAAAAGAAATTATCAATTCCCAACTTGACTCTCACTGGGATTAAACATGACAATAGGTCTGCTCTGATTTCATCATCATCTAAAAAAATCATCTATTATTTTTCACTTTATGTTTCTGTGTGGGAGCAAACTGTTGAAATCCATACTTAATGTATACTAAGCTGATCTTCTGTATATTAAGATAATCGAAAATGAATCATGATGTGAAGGGAAGGGGAGAGGGAGTGGGAAAGGGGAGGGTTGTGGGTGGGAGGGACGGTATGGGGGGGAAGCCATTGTAATCCATAAGTCGTACTTTGGAAAATTATATGCATTAAATAAAAGTTTAAAAAAAAATTTTTTATTTAGTATAGAGTTGGCCTTCTGTGTACAAAATTAATTGAAAATGAATCTTAATGGAGACTGGGACTGGCAAAGGGAGAGGGAGGAGGAGGAGGGGTGGGAGTGTGGGTGGAAGGGCTGATATGCTGGGAAGAGTAACTATATTCCTAATAATACAAACTATACAAAATACAAAAAAAAATATAGTTACAAAAGTAACTATATTCCTAATAATACAAACTTAATTACTTAAAAAATAAATAATAAAGTTAATTGCAGACAAAAAAAAAGGTTTTAAAAATATTGCTCATAACCCTGAAAAATTGCAATAGAGAAAATTTAAATTATCTTATCATTAAATTAATCTATTATATTACTATTAAATAGGTTTAGTTTTGTGTTTAGAAATGGAAAAATTTTGGAGCCGGCGCAGTGGCGCACTAGGTTAATCCTCCGCCTGCGGCACCGGCATCCCATATGGGCGCCGGGTTCTAGTCCCAGTTGCTCCTCTTCCAGTCCAGCTCTCTGCTGTGGCCCAGGAAGGCAGGGGAGGATGGCCCAGGTGCTTGGGCCCCTGCACCCACATGGGAGACCAGGAAGAAGCACCTGGCTCCTGGGTTCGGATGGGCATAGTTCTGGCCGTGGTGGCCATTTGGGGGGTGAACCAACGGAAGGAAGACCTTTCTCTCTGCCTCTCTCCCTCACTGTCTAACTCTCTCTGTCAAATAAATAAAAAAAATAAAAATAAAAGAAATGGAAAAATTGTATAATATTGTTGAATATGTATATGTGTTATCAATCTTGACTGTTTTTCTTTCTAAGCTGTGGAAGATATTTGGAAACAACAAACATTGTTATGTATTCTCCAACTGATTCATCTTCCATTCTTGGAAAATATTTTAGAACCTCCAATTAAAGCACAAAATCTTCAATTAAGTAAGGAGGAAGATCTGGTTATCTCTAACACTTGCCTGGACAGAGAGCTTATTCCAAGCTTATGTCTAACTGAGTAAGTGACCATTTTAATTGTCAAATAATTTATAACTAAAGAAGTCTTTCATTTTTTTGTCCTGGATATGAGAACATGAGAACATGCTCATATTATAAGCTGACACCATCTCTGTTTTACAGATTAATCACTGTGAATTTGATCTAACAAAGAAACTCATTGGTTATAGTCTACAAGAAGATCATTGGAAATTAGAGTGATTTTATTTATGTGAATTCATTTATATGTCAATTGTCCTTTTCCTGTATGATACAATTATATCATTTCCATTTTATGACTGTAAAATAATATAACAATTACAGTTTCTACATGTTTATTTATTCCTGCTATAAAAGAATCCATTGTCTAGTAAGGGAGACATACATGAGAGAAACCCTCTCATAAAAACAGCCTCATTTGTGGATGGGAGATTCAAGGAATCCCTGATCTATGACTTGAATGAGCTTTCCTTTGCTTTGAATCCAAATGCGAAGGTATTTGTCATCTTGAACAAAGCAGCTGCTTGGAAGTATAGGCATAAGACTGAGTAGTGTTATGTTCCAGCAGAGAGAACTGGTATAATGCTTTCAACCCATTTGGACCAAAAAAGAGAAGAACGTCAGACTCCAAGGCTGAGGACCAAAAAGCTTCAGATCCTGAAAGAGTTGAGTGATCAGTGAGACCTCTGGACCCACTTAGATTGTCCAGTGTGGTCCTGTTTGCACAGGGCAGGTTCCCCTTATTCACATTTGGCCCAAAAAGCTCAAAGGTCTGAGTTTTCCCTGCACTTGAGTCAGAGCTATTATTGGGACCTCAGAAAAGGAACAGGATTTTTTTCAGGCGCTGCTAAACTGACAGCAGCCAGTCTGCCTTTATAAGCCTCCAGGCAGAAAGGGCGGATTGGGAGAGAAAAGCAGTCTGTCATGTGTCTCTTCACTATCGTACCAGGATCTAGAAGATATGAATCACACGTGTTAGCCAAAAATATACTGTTCATCTGTCTCAGGAAAAAATAGAAGGAAGGGAAGAAGGGAAGGAAAGAAATAGGGAGAAAGGGAGGGAGGGAAAAATTTGAGGATTAAAAGGAAGGGAAGGAGGAAGGGAATTTGAGGATTAAAGGGAGAGGAGGGAGGGAGGGAGGAAGAAAGGAAATTTAGGATTAAATGAAAGAAGAGGGAGAGAGTAAGAGAGGGAGGGAGGAAAGGGGATATCAGAAAAGGAAACGAAGCATGGTGGGGTAAATAGAGCATCTGGGTTGGGCAAATATTTGTATCTGTTTTCAAGTATTTAGTATCTTATTTTGCATCTCATTACTGGAGCAGGGAAAGTGAAGAGTTTTTGATGGTTATTAATGGAATGGAACCATTCAAATGAACTTCTTAGAACAAAGACTAGCAAAGTTATAAATAAATTACAAGGTAGCCAAAAGTGTTCTAACTCCTTGCAAGTAAAGGACATAAGAATGTGATGGTGTTTGGCAAGGGAGTCATTCCTTTTTATTTCCTTCATTCGTCCAGCAAACTGTGTTGATGTTATCTCTCCAAAAATAATTTCTTCTTTAAATTTGGTTAAAGATAAGCCACATATTATTACACAGAATGCTTTAGATAAATGGAAGTATTAACTATGATTTATTTTATTTTGTATTTTCCTCCCAGGATTGATAACTGGCTTAATGCAGCAGTTGAATGCTTGGAATATTTCCCTGACCAGTTAATAGTTAGAGTTAGTCAGCAGTTAGTACAAAACCAAAGTGAAGCGACAAAATTGGATATTCAGAAGAAATTACTCTTCGATGTCATAGTAAAATATTATAATCAAGAGAGATCTTGCCTGTTAACTGATGACTATTTTGATATTCATTCAGGAATTATTGAACTTTTAGGTAAGAAAACATTATTGAACTTTTTAATATTCAGAAATTAGTAAACTTTTAAGTCCAAACTTTTTGCATGATGAAACATTTTAAAACACACAACTTGAAGTAGAAAATTATCTATTCTCTGAGTATTACATTTGAATATTTTTCTTCTATGTATAAGGTACTGAATTCATGAAATCTTTTTTTCACTTCTTTATTATGCTGCTGCCATGTAAATTGTACTAACAAATGTAACTAACATGAAGGTACTTCAAATGGTTTGAGGAAAAATGAAATTAAAAAGTAAGTATTTTAGTGCATAAAGTTTTTGAAATCCATATATAGTTTGTTCATAATATACATTTTCCATAAATTTTTTGAAGACTCCTCATATAGTATAGGATATAAATCTAAGATACAACATATCACAGGACATTCTGAGAAATACATATTGGTATGGTACAATGCCAGTTTCTGATATATTAATTTGGTCATCTTTTAGCAAAATAAAAATTGAGCAACATAATATCATGTCATTTTTTCAGCATATAACTGGCCATATATTTTATGTTATTTTCATGACACTATTTGATAATGTGGATATGATCACAAATAATATTATATAGACATATAATTTCCTATGTATTTGATGTGTTTCCTATTAAAAATTATAAGTACAAAAAATTGCAAATCAAATGCAGCAGTCTAGCATTTTAACTATTAGGTAGTACACTCTCTGTTGTCTCTTATCTTCTTTGCAATTCCTATACAGAAAAAGAGAGAAGAGTAGAAGCTCTTGAAGCAATACAGCTCTATCTAAGATTGTTGTTGCCCCATGTGAGAGAAGAGTTACGACGGCTGCTTACTTTTATGGCTATTGCATCAGAGCCTAATGCCTACAGGTTGCAAAAACAGGTGAAAAATTTATAAGCACAGTTTTTGAATTTTTTGACATTTTTTCTGTTAGAAATCATTCATGTTTATAAATCTTTCTGTTTTCAGTATGATAACAAAACAGTGGTCATGAAAACTCTTGCCAAAGCAGTCCTGCAAACCAAATCTTTATTAAAAATACAGGCAGAACAACTGGTCTGGTTTCTACTGGAGTATCACTCTGAGCTCTTCAAGGTAACTGGCATTTTGCCTGGGTACATTTATTACTAAGCTATTTGTGTCAAGCAAAAAGGCAAATCATTCATTTAATAAATAATTTACTGAGTATAATGAGCAAAGTTTAAAGGAATGTTGTCTCCCTATACCCACTACAGAGAAGGAAATAGACTTTAAAATTTTTTGGTATTTACAATCCATTGATTTATTCAACTTGTTTCTTCTGCATTACTATGTGCCAGGGCCTGTTCTAGGTGCTTAGATTGTATCAGTGAACAGAGCACAAAGACCCAGGCCCTGAGGAGCTTATTTCCAAGTAAGGGAAGACAAACAATAAAAAGACAGCATATCTTCAAGTCATATAACAGAGTGAAGGTAATAAATGCTATAGGAAAAAAAGATTAGGTTACAGGGATTTATGGGTACTAGAATCAGGTGGTCAGGAACTTACAGTATTAGAGTGGCCCCAGTTGAGGTCACTGAGAAAGTAAGAACTTAGCAAAGACTGGAAGTGGAGAGAGTGAACCAAGTTGTGGGGAGCAACCGGACTAGACTGAGTTACTGGAATTAAGACTTATTCTATGCATCTGCTCTCCCACAATATGGCGCTGGGAGAGAAGTAAACAGCTTCCGCACAGCTGCCTCCAGTTCAACCAATTAACTGTAGGACTTGCTCCTGATTGGAGAGCAGCGTACTCGGCGTGTGGGCAGCCGAGTTGGGATTGGCGGAGGAGGACTATAAAGGAGGAGAGAGATGGCATGCACCAGGAACATCTATGGGGAACATCTAAGGGAACCCGTGCAGCCCCCGAGAGAACCGGCTGGCGGTGTGCCGCTCCCCTGCGGAAGTGGGGAATGCGGCCAGGGGGAACTGCCCTTCCACGGAGGTGGAAGGGATAGTAGCCAACCCGGGAAGAACCAGCAGCAAACCCGGGGAGGGCCGAGCAGACGAAAGAACAGCGCAGGGTCCTGTGTCGTTCCTCCACGAAGAGGGGGAGCGACATAATGGTGCCGTGACTCGGATAGGAAACCTAGCTCGGATAGGAAACTTAGGACGGATATGAAACTTAGGAGGGAAGAAACGGGAAGAGCTGGGAAAATACCAGAGAGAGAGACTAGCAAACAGCCTAGGGAAAAGCCGGACGAAAAAGGAGCCGGAAGAAGCTATTGAAAGCCTAGGCATAGATTCGGATACGGACTACGGGGGGAAGCTGGGAGAAATCTCTAAGGTCGAAAGCGAAAGTGAAAGCTAGAACAAACAGACTCGGATGCGGACTGTGGGGAGAGGCCAGGTGAAATGAGGGAGGAGTATTGTTGGAGGAAAGCTTGGGGAAACATACCGGGTAGAGAAAAATGTTAGGGAAATTGAAGCCGTGGGGGGCAGGCCAAGGCGGACACGAAAGCCACTTTGGGATTCTCAAGTTAGCCCGGGAATAGGGGGCGAAAAGTTGAAACCAGAAGCTGAAACATAAGCCAGATTGGGATCCGTCTGATTAGCCCGGGGAGCAAAGGACGGGAAGCCAAATCATGGGGCGGAGACGTATGCTGGGTTGAATTCGCCAGGCTAGCCCGGGGAACTTAGATTGAATGCTAGTGGCGGACACGTAAGCTACGCTGTGTTACTCGCGGAAGCCGCCGCGTGCAGAGAGAGCACGGGGCGTGAATAGATAGGGAACGGGGCTGGCGCGAGGCCGTGGTGCACACGCGAAGGGCGTGGAGACCGCGGAGTGCGCGAAGCCAAGCCGCGCAAAGCCGGGAAGCAGCGCAGATGAGAGAGGCGCGGGCTGAAGCGGCTCAGAGCCGGCAAGGCGCCGAGAAGCAGCCTCAGGGCGGAGCTGCCGGCAGGGCGAGGCGCCGGGAAGCTGCAGGGATAAGAGAAATAGAAGTTTAGAAATAAGAGAAATAAGAATGCTGGGAGATAGAAGTAAAATGGGAGAAATAGGAATGCCCGGAGATAGAGAAATAGAGAAATAGAAAGGCCTCCCCTCAACATGGCAACGAGAAAGTTTGGATTCGGTCTGCCTGATTAAGTGAGGCGATGAGCACGATGAGCACCTGCGGGCAGCTAGCAGCTTATGCGCCGCAGGTCACCGAAGACAGGCACGAATTAACATCAGTAAGGCTTCCCCACAATACAACAATGAGAAAGCTTGGATTCGGTCTGCCTAATTAAGGCGGTAAGCGCCAGCAAGCAGCTCGACCAGAGTATGAGCTGCAGGTCACCGAAGATAGGCACGAACCAACACTAATAAGTCTCCCCCACAATACGGCAATGAGAAGGCTTGGATTCTGTTTGCCTGATAGGGCTTGTAAGCCCCCTGCAGGCAGAGCAGAGCATGCGCTGCAGGGCACCAAACACAGGCACGCATCAGCGCCTAAAAACCTCCTCACAACATGGCGAAGAGAGGACCCGGATTCGGTTTGCCTGATTGATAGGACTTGTAAGAGCCTGTGGCAACTCTAGCAAGTAGAGCAGAGTGTGTGCCGCGGGACACCGAAGACAGGCGCGTATCAACGCCAAAAAATAAAAAGAAAGGGGGATCTGTGGGGAGCAACCGGACTAGACTGAGTTACTGGAATTAAGACTTATTCTATGCATCTGCTCTCCCACAATATGGCGCTGGGAGAGAAGTAAACAGCTTCCGCACAGCTGCCTCCAGTTCAACCAATTAACTGTAGGACTTGCTCCTGATTGGAGAGCAGCGTACTCGGCGTGTGGGCAGCCGAGTTGGGATTGGCGGAGGAGGACTATAAAGGAGGAGAGAGATGGCATGCACCAGGAACATCTATGGGGAACATCTAAGGGAACCCGTGCAGCCCCCGAGAGAACCGGCCGGCGGTGTGCCGCTCCCCTGCGGAAGTGGGGAATGCGGCCAGGGGGAACTGCCCTTCCACGGAGGTGGAAGGGATAGTAGCCAACCCGGGAAGAACCAGCAGCAAACCCGGGGAGGGCCGAGCAGACGAAAGAACAGCGCAGGGTCCTGTGTCGTTCCTCCACGAAGAGGGGGAGCGACACAAGTGTCCGGGGAAGGTGGGTAGTGGGTTTGGTTGGTGGTAGTGGTTCCCAGAGCTGAGGTTTTGCAGGCGATGCATGTCTAGATGTTGAGGAACGGAAAAGAAGTAGTGAACAGAAGGGAACAGTTGTGTGATATGAAATCAGTGTGGTGTGGCACACAAATCACAGTAAAGCCTTCATAGGCCAGTCAAGGTTGTTTCTCCTTGGAATAATTGCCGGGGTTGAGCATTGCACTGGGATGAGCTGAATGACATTTATAAAGATACCTCTCGCTTTGTGTTGAGTATAAATTATAAAGTGGCAAGTGTAGAAGCTAGAACATCTTCTCAGGCTGTCGTAATAATCTAGGCAAGAGAATAGAGGGGTAGCACTAGAGTTAATAAAACATGGTCAGATTGTTAATAAATTTTGAAACATTTTAGAAAAAATATTTTTAGTGTCTGATGTTTTTAGTACCAGACAGTACCTTTGGTGTTGTTATTTCTCTAACACCCCTGTAAAAAATTATTCCTTTGTAAAATTTTCATCTCATGTTATAAAGAAACATATTGTTTTACATTTGGTAGACATTCTGTCAAGCTTAGCTGAAGCTTTTCCTCAATTATTGAATTTTTTAGAAGATTTATTTGTTTGTTTGTTTGAAAGGCAAAATGTCAGGGAGAGAAGGAGAAAGAGAAAGACTTCTTCCATCCACTGGTTTACTTTCCCAAAGGCCACAACAGCAAGGTCTGAGTCAGGCCTAAGCCAGGAGCCAGGAGCTCTATCCTGGTCTTCTACACGGGTATCAGGGGCTCAACTACTTGAGCCATCCTCCTCTGCCTTCCCAGGAACATTAGCAGAGCTGTATTGGAAACAGAGCAGCCAGTACTCATAGGTGCTCCAGTATGGTGTGCTACTGTGGCAAGCTGTGGCTTAACTCACTGTGCCACATGCCAGCTCTCTCTCAGTTATTTAAGAGAATAAAATTGGGGGCCAATGCTGCAGTATAGTAGATAAAGCCTCTACCTGCGGCTCTGGCTTCTCAAGTGGGCATCATTCAAGTCCCAGCTGCTCCACTTCTGATCCAGCTCCCTGCTAATGTGCCTGGGAGAGCAGTGGAAGATGGCCCAAGTCCTTGGGCCCCTGTACCCATGTGGAAGACCAGGAGTAGGCTCCTGGCTCCTGACTTTGGATAGCACAGCTCCAGCTGTTACAGCCATTTGGGGAATGAACCTTCAGGTAGAAGATCTCTCTCTGTCTTTCTGCCTCTCTCTGTCTCTCTGTGTAACTCTGCCTTTCAAATAAATAAATACTTTTTAAAAAAGAAAAGAAAAATTGGTACTAAGTATATATAAAAGAGGTAGTCCCCCATTTATAAATTTTGAGTAAAACATATTTTCAAAGCTCACTTGTAAGTTAATCATTACATACTCTCCAACCTGGTCTTTCATCAAAAGAATAAGTGGAAGTTAGGGCATAGGTTACTTAAACGTTAAGTTCTACAGTCATTGAACCAAAATTCTCATATATAGTTTACCTACAAAAATATATCCAGGAGTTGGCACTGTGGAGTGATAGGTTAAGCCTCTGCCGGTGGCACTGGCATCCCACTTGGGCACTGGTTTGAGTCCTGGCTGCTCTACTTCCTATACAGCTCACTGCTAATGCACCTTGTTAAGCAGTGGAAGGTGGCCCAAGTGCTTGGGCCCCTGCATCCACATGAGAGGCCTGGAAGAAGCTCCTGGCTCCTGCCTTCGGATCAGCCCAGCTCTGGCTGTTATGGCTATTTTGGGGGTGAATCAGCAGATAGAAGGCCTCTCTCTCTGTCTGTAACTCTGCCTTTCAAATAAATCTTTTAAAAAATATATACCCAGATTCCAACCAGGACTTTATGAAAAACATTTACTCTCCTTTACTCTTCTTCACCACTAAACTCTGTCTGTTTTTTTCTTTCATACTCTTTATCATCTTCTGGGTAAATGATTTGCCTTTTTCCTACATGTGGTACAGAAATTAGATTTTTAAATTATTTTTCTATTTTCCCATTTATGGTATTGCAACTGGTAGTATCATAAAGAATCGTGTTGGTTAAAATTTTGTGGCAGGCCACCAAGGGTGAGGTAGGGTTCAGGAAGAAGGAGGAAGGGCCCTGTTCGGGATGTTTTTCTCCAAAATCTTCCTATGGCTCACTCCTTCACAGCTATTCAGACCTCTGTTCAAAATGCTACTCTCAGGGCCGCTGTCATGGCGCAGTGGGTTAAGCTCCTGCCTGTGATGCTGGCATCCCATGTGGGTACCTTTTTCAGTCCCAGCTGCTTCACTTCCAAGACAGCTCCCTGGGAAAGCAGCAGCAGATGGCCTAAGTCCTTGGCCCCTGCACTTATGTGAGGGACCCGGATGGAGTTCCAGGCTCCTGGCTTTGGTCTGGCAGAGCCCTAGCTGTTATAGCCATCTGGGGAGTGAACCAGCAGATGGGAGATCTCTTTCTCTCTGTCTCTGTAATTCTGCCTTTCAAATAAATAAATCTTTAAATTGCTACCTGATTATGTATTTGCTGATGTTTTTTAAAATTGGTTTTCTGTGAGAATATAGCTTCCTTGAATTAAGAAAACTTGACCTATTTTTTCATTACTTGTCCTAGAACATTACCTGACACATAGCAGTCCCTCCTTAAATTTTTATTGGATGACAGAATGAAGTAGTGGGGACAACTTCATGGCAGAATTGTGGCAGGACAAGTGGTAGCCTAGGAGCCAGGTTGAAGGAGCTGTCTGGACATGAGCTTCATCACTGGACAGACCAGGGAACATCCTCTGTACAATTTTAGACAATGAATTGTCTCTCCAGATATTTGGGGAGTCTTTAAGAAGTTCATGGAAAATGCATATTACAAAAAAACTAAGCATGAATTTCAATTTTTTATGAAAGTAAACTAATTTTTTAATTCCATTTTTTCATGAACTTTTTGAAGTGCCCTTGTATGTTGTAGTCTGAGAATCCCTACGATATAATCAAAATTGGAAGAGGAACATTTACCCATTTTAAGAGAACATGCTTTAGTGAATGAGAGGGCTCCAAAAAGTTCCTGGAAAAATAAAATTAAAACATAATGCATATTTTCCACAAAATTTTTGAAGTACCTTCATATTTTAGAACTTCTATTTACATATGAACCATGTAATTACAATATACTGTTATTTATGAGTACTACTATAAAACTTCAAATATGTTTTACTATTATAGGAGAACATTTTGGTAATGTTAACCTAATCTCAAATGTAGTACATACAATAGTACTTCAAAAAGTTTATGGAAATGGAATTAAAAGATTGGGGAGCATCTGTTTATCCTAACAGTTAAGACACCAGCATCCTATATTGGAGTTCGTAGGTTTGATTCCTGGCTCATCTTCTGACTCCAGCTTCTTGCCATTGCAGATCCTAGGAGGCAGTGGTAATGACCCAAGTAGTTGGGTTTGTGCCTCCTACATGGGAGACTCAGTCACATTGCAGGCTCCTGGCTGCAGCCCCTGTACAACACTGGCCATTGTGGGCATGAGGAGTGAACAGCAGATGGGATCTCTATCTCTCCCTCTCTCTCTTTCTCTCTGTATCTCAAATATTTTTTAAAAAAACAGATAAGTTGGTACAAAATAATTTTGAAACTCACATGTAGTTTTCTCATAATATGCATTTTCCATGAGCTTTTTGAAATACACTGATATATGAAAATAGAAAATTAGATTTTAATAATGCTAAAAGAATTTCAGGTGTTCATAACTTTTATAATTCACAGGCTTTTAGCCATCACAGCCCCTATCCCCTCATTTATAGTCCTTCTAGCTCATTGGTCAAAAATAGTCAGTTTTTTTTTTTTCTTGTGTTGAATTCCTAGCTAGAAAAAAAATCATATGAAGTATTTGAAACCACTTGTTTTTATGTAGACACCCGTTACTTTACTGGATCTCGTCAGTAAGAAACTTAAGAAGCTTCTGCATGGAGAAGATCCAGATGCCATCTCAGGTATTGATTCAGATTTTTTCCTCCTGTATCATTGACTGTTGTGGCAAAGGGAGTTGAAAAGGCACCAAAAATGAATATGCAATAAATATATAATGTTATAAAAGTGGCAACATTTAGGTTATCTTTTGCTGTTTCCAGAACAAATCCTTCTCTTGTTCTTTTTGAAAACCCTTTGTTGGATTCCTCTTGTACAAGGAAGGTGGAAACCCAGTTTCTCATTTTTGCTGCCAGTTCTCACCTCCCCTTCTATTATTAACTGGTTGCCTGTTTCTATGCTCCTTGGTTCTCTGTTATTTCTTTTTTTGACTCTATTAAATTCCCTTTCTTGTTTTGCATTCTCTCTGCTCTGCCCTCTACTTTTGTAGGAGAAGGATCAAATTTTATGGAGAAAGATATCAAGTTCCCAGTTGTTAGGCTCCATCAGATCTTGTCACTCAATATCTTGTGGCAATTGAGCTGATTCCATAATTTAGAATTTTTAAAACTATATAATATTTTTAATACAAATCTTCTGAGATTGTCATTTTGGAGACTAAGAAGCATCAAAGATGTAACTGTGAATGCCAAGGCCAAATGTCTGGGTAAATCATTAACTCCTTTGTGCTTCAGTTTCCTCATCTATAAAACAAGCATGATAATATCAATGTGTTTCATAGTATAGTTGTTAAACATTTAATGTTTATATAACATGTTTATATAACATTAAATGTTATATTGATAGGTAATATCAATTATAATTAACATACTTGAGTTTATTTCATATTTAATTTTAACTGACACTGAGTCACTTTCAGACACCACTGAACATTAATGTAGATTTCTGAAATTATTTAATATTCACAATAATCTACTGTACAAACATTATTATCCCACTTATATTTATCCCATTATTATTTTTCCCATTATTATCAGGTAACTGAAGTTAGAGAGGTTATGTGACATGGCCAACAGGAAAAGTAGGTAACAGGGCAGGCACTGAGCCTAACAGGTAAGATGCTGTGTCCCTTGGAGTACCTGGATTCGATTCCTAGCTCCAGTTCCTGGCTCCACTTCCTGCTAATGCAAACCCTGGGAGGGTAATGATGGTTCAAATAATTGAATTCTTGCCACTCATGTGGCAGACTTGGATAGCATTCCTGGCTACCAGCTTTAGCCCCACCCCAGCCCAGCTCCAGCTACTGTGGACACTGGGGCGTGAACAAGCAGTTGGGAGTTCATGCTCACTATCTGTCTCTGTTTTACTGTCTCTCTGCCTCTCAAATAAAAAAAAACTTTTAAAGGGGAAAAAGGTAGGTAACTTTTTTTTGAAAAAATAATAAAAATTCAAAGACATTACTAATCTTAAAAAAAATTCGGAGGGGACATAATTTATTTGCTTGAATTAGAATTTCTCAGCTAATAGGTGCTATTTTCTCTCATTTCCTTCTTTGAATATGGGGTATATGGCACAAGTATATTGTCACATACATCCTATTTGATGAATCAAACAGTGATACTAATGAAGTATTCTACAACTAATATCTTTTGGTATTAATTCTAGTGTATTTTACTAATTTCAAAACAAATTTCAGTTGACTGCTATTAACTGCACTAGCTTTTCACATTTTTTCCCCATAACTTTAGGTTTTAGAGGAACATGGGGAGATTGTAAGCATTTTAACATTTCCATTCAACAATATGCTTTGAATACGAGGCACTTCAAACAGTTCACAGATAAATGGCATTAAAAGTTAAGTTTGTTTTGTTACAAAAATTTTTGAAATCCATGAATAATTGTTTTGTTTTAAAGATTTATTTATTTATTTGAAAGGCAGAGTTTACAGAGAAAGAGAAAGTGAGTGAGAAAGAGAGAAATCTTCCATCTGCTGGTTCACTACCCAAATGGCTGCAGTGGCCACAGTGGGGCCTGTCCTAAGTCAAGAACCTGGAACTTCTTCCCAGTCTCCCACATGGTGCAGGGGCCTAAAGACTTGGGCCATCTTCTGCTGCTTTCCCAGACACACTTGCAGGGAGCTTGATCAGAAGTAGAACAGCAGGGACTCAAACCAGTGCCCATATGGGATGCTGTTGTTGCAGGCAGCAGCCTTACCGGCTAGACCACAATAGTGGCCCCAATATTTTTTTATGATGTTCATTTTCCATGAACTTTTTGAAGTCCCCTCATATAAATGCTTTATGCAGTGCTGTGAACTATAAACATTTGGAAAGTGAAGCTATCTTATTTCATTTTTTCTAGAAGTTTATCTTTTAGTGAAATAATATTTAATATTCAGATTAAATCAACATATTAATTTAATTTTTAAAAGATTTATTTATTTTTTTGAAAAGCAGAATTACAGAGAAATAGAGAGGGAAAGACAGAAAGAGAGAGAGATCTTCCATCTGCTGGTTAACCGCACAAATGGCTGCAACATCTGGAGCTGAGCTGGTCCAAAGCCAGGAGCCAGGAGCTTCTTCTGGGTCTCCTAAGCACTTGGGCCATTCTCTGCTGCTTTCCCAGGCACATTAGCAGGGAGCTGGATGGGAAGTGGAGCAGCTGGGACGTGAACTGGTGCCAATACGGGATGCCGGTGCTGCAGATGGCAGCTTAAACTGCTGCACCAGAGTGCCAGCTCCTTAATTGAATTTTTTAATTCTTTATGTTGTATATTGTATATTGTATGTGCTTTCTGTTGTATGTTCCTTTTCCTATACTTGAAATGATTCCTTAAAATGCATGAGAGTTGATTTAAAATGCTCCTGAGATGGGGCCGGCGCTATGGCATAGCGCAGGTAAAGCTGCCACCTGCAGTGCTGGCATCCCATATGCCATATGGGCATCCGTTCGAGTCCTGGCCGTTCTGCTTCCAATACAGCTCTCTGCTATGACCTGGGAGAGCAGTGGAGGATGGCCCAGGTCTTTGGGCCCATGTACCTGCATGGGAGACCCGGAGGAAGCTCCTGGCTCTTGGCTTCAGATCAGCGCACCTCCGGCCCTTGCGGCCAATTGGGGAGTGATCCAGAGGATGGAAGATTTCTCTCTCTCTGCCTTCCTTCTCTCTCTGTGTAACTCTGACTTTCAAATAACTAAATAAATAAATCTTTAAAAAAATGCTCCTGAGAGCTGGAATTCATCCATCCATTCAACTATTCACTAGATTTTTTTTGAACATTTACTATGTGCAAGACTTTGTATAAGCATCACAAATATAAAGATATATAAGATAATGCCCTTGCTTACAATAAACTCATGCTTTACTATTCAAAGGGACTAGCACATTTTATATTTTAATAAATATTTATTGGATAAATTCAGAGAAAGAATTGATGATGGAGAAATAGCCATGGAAACCAGTCATAAAATATTAGAGGTTTTCTAAAAGTTAGTGGAAAATGTGAATTTTGTAAAAATTATGCAGGGATTTCAAATCATTTTTGTACCAAAATTTTTTTTTTTTTTACTAAATTTTTCCATGAACTTTTTGAAGTTCCTCACATGATCGGTGTGTGTCCTGCCAGAGTAGGTTATGAAAGTCTGAAAAAAGGGGCCGGCGCCGTGGCTCACTTGGTTAATCCTCCACCTAAGGTGCCAGCATCCCATATGGGTGCTGGGTTCTGGTCCCGGTTGCTCCTCTTCCTGTCTAGCTCTCTGCTGTGGCCCAGGAATGCAGTGGAGGATGCCCCAGGTGCTTGGACCCCTGCACCCACATGGGAGACCAGGAGGAAGCACCTGGCTCCTGGCTCCGGAATGGCGCAGTGCCGGCCATAGTGGCCATTTGGGGCGTGAACCAACAGAAGAAAGACCTTTCTCTCTGTCTATCTCTCTGACTATAACTCTACCTGTCAAAAAAAAAAAAAGAAAAAAGAAAAGTCTGGATAAGGATTACCTGACCTAGTTTGAGGGTATCAGACTTGATGTGAAGAGATAATTCCCAGCAGGAATCTTAAAAATGAGTGAGGAGGGTTAAAACCAAGGAGTAGAGGTGAATATATTTAGATAGAGGATAGTGTGAGTGAAAGAGGTAAGCCCTAGAGATATGGATAGGTATCAGCTCATGCAGGGCCTCCTTTAGCAGTCAGCAAACTCACCAGGCAGTTGTGGAAGCATTAAAAGTTATTTTTATGAAAGTGGTAAAGCCAGATAGGATTCTAGGAGCAGCATGCTAGCAGCAGTGCAGAGAACATGTTGGCTGGGGGAGCTGCAGGCAGTCTTATTTAGGAGACTGCTAATAACAGAGTGTAAGTGAGAAATGCTGTAGCCCGTACTGTGGCAGAGGCGAGGGCAATGAAGAGGAGGGGACAGGTTGGAGAAATTTCTAAGAGATAAAATTGGTAACATTTGATTTCATCTGGGGTTTAGGGAGAAATGCAACTTTAAAAAAAATGACCCAAGCTTCCAGGTGAGGTGACTGCTACCAGTTTAGATAGAAAAACAGATAAAGAGGAACAGGTTTAGGGAAATGATGGAGTCTGGGGATTTTAAGTTCTGTATGGGCCATCTGATCAAGATTTTCAGCAAGTCAACTGGATATGCAGTTTTGAACCTTAGAGGAGAGAGAGGAGCTAAAAATAAGTATGTGGGTTCATCAGCGTGTGGTAGAAATTGAAGTCATTCGTGGTGTGTTAAGTAAAAGAAGAGACCCAAGGATAAAACTGTAAGGGATGCCAATAATCAGGAGTAGGTAAAGAGAAGCCCATGAATGAGACATAGAAGAGGATTTAGGAACAAGATGATCTGAAGCTGTGTCCATAAAGTCAAAGAAAAGTAACCTATTAGGCAGGAGGGTTCCATGTGGCAGAAGATCAGCACTGCTGCTAACTATCTGGACGGAGTTGGTGGGAACTGTTTTTGTGCTTGAGAAGCAAAAGCCAGGTTGCAGTGGCATTAAGAAGAGTGAACAGGTAAAGAAATGCAGAGCCGTGAGACAGAGAAGAGGGGAACTGGGCAATACCCATCAACTTTAGCAACCTGGTCTGCTGAGAGGAAGGCTTCAGAAGGAAGGGGATATTGAAGGAACAAAGATGGCTGATGAAGTCAGGCAAGGAGGAAATTAGTTCAAGGGCATAGGATCAAGGGTTTTCCTGGAACGGGAGAAAGGATATTGGAGCAAAGGTGACAGTATTTGTGGATGTAAATAAATCTGTAGGTGTTAAGAGTAGGCAGTTTATGGAGATTGTTAATTGATGAATCTTTCCCTTGGCAAAGTAGTAGGGGGAGACTGTATTGTCTGAGGATGACATGAGAAGGGAATAGTTTGAAACACATGGTTAGGGGAATGAGAAAAGAGATTAAGAAAGGACAAGTACATGGACTGATGAGTCAGATGAAGCAGGAGATTACATATCTTAGTGGTGCCAGTTGGACAGTTTGTTTCTTAGGAGCACCTGTGCACTTGAATTCTGGATGAGAGCATTGATTTAAGAGCTGGAGCTTTGTCAGCTATTGCAGAAGGATAGAAGTGCAAGAGGATTTAGGACACACACTGATGAGACAGTGGTTAAAACGTATGTATATGTGTCTGATCCAACATGGGAAAGAAGAGACAGTGGGATGGAGGCTGATAAAGAAAATGTCACATCAAGGTTTTATGTTCAAAGATTGAAGGGAGTTGACAAAGATAAAAACAGTATTATATAGTGGTAGAGACCAGGCCCTGGGAGGGGAAAACCCTGTATGCAGATCCTAGCTTGACCACTTGCTAGCCATGTGTTTCAAGCTTTTATTTCTTTATCAATAAGGAATCACTGATAAAAATACCTACAAACCTAAACCTTAGAATACTGCAGATTTAGGCCGGTGCCACGGCTCAATAGACTGATCCTCCACCTGTGGCGCCGGCAACCCGGGTTCTAGTCCCAGTTGGGGCGCTGGATTCTGTCCCCGTTGCTCCTTTTCCAGGCCAGCTCTCTGCTGTGGCCCGGGAGTGCAGTGGAGGATGGCCCAAGTGCTTGGGCCCTGCACCTGCATGGGAGACCAGGAGAAGCACCTGGCTCCTGGCTTCGGATCAGCACGGTGCGCCGGCCATAGCACGCTGGCCACAGCAGCCATTGTGGGGTGAACCAATGGTAAAGGAAGACCTTTCTCTCTGTCTCTCTCACTGTCCACTCTACCTGTTAAAAAAAAAAAAAAAAAAAAAGGAATACTGCAGATTTAATGAGAAAAAGCACCAAAAGCTTGGCACATGGTAAGCACTAAGTGTAAGGTGTTATTTGAAGCTACCAATTCTGAGTAAAGAGTACAGGAGTTTAAGTTTTTAGAAGCAGTATAATTGGAGGGCATCACCACAGGTGTATTTAATTGAAGCCTATTTTAGTGAAGATAAAGGGAAAAAATACCCAACATTTATGGGCTTCAGGAATTCAAATGTTAACTCTGGTTGTGAATTGATGTAGTGTTTGTGGAGGCAAGGTGTGAGCTAAGGTGTCTTCATCCTCCAATGAGCATGGGGAAACAGCTGACTACATGCCAAGTCAGTTCATGCAGTGGTAGGCAGTCCTGCCATAGCATCCCAAGTCCTTTGTTCCTGTTTTGAACATGCCTCTAATTTATTAGCCATGCCAACTAATTCTTTGTGTATTCCTCTTGAACTGGGATAGTAGTTCCTTGCTTTTCTTCCTTCTTGGAATTAGAGATTAAATAAAATAATACATGTAAAATAAAATAATGTATGTTTTGCTAAAGTATAAAGCACTTTTTAAGGAAACAGGATTGGGGCCAGCGCTGTGGCATAGCAGGTGGAGCCGCCACCTGCAGTGCCAGCATCCCATATGGGCGCTGGTTTGAGTCCTGGCTGTTCCACTTCCAATACAGCTCTCTGCCATAGCCTGGGAGGGCAGTGGAGAACAGCACAAGTCTTTGGCCCCCTGCACCCACATGGGAGACCTGGAATAGGCCCCAGGCTCCTAGTTTTGGATTGGTGCAGCTCCGGGAATCTGGCCATCTGGGGAGTGAACTAGCGAATGGAAGATCTCTCTCTTTCTTTCTCTGCCTCTGCCTCTCTGTAACTCTGCCTTCCAAACAAATAAATAAATAAATAAAATAAAAGAAGAAACAGAATTATTACTTTGGAAAAAGGAAAATATGGGCATACGTAACATTATTTACCATGTTTGGAAAAATAATAAGCCCAACATAAGGCAAGTCTGTATAAGTACATTTTAGTTATTTTTTTAACTCACTTTAATAATTTGTTTTTGTTTTGTTTGTTTTTTTTTTAGGCTTCACATTTTGCCAACCCTTGACACATAAGGAGTTTGAAAAACAAAAGGGAAGGACAATTGAATGTCTTCACCAGTTGGCTCTTGAGATTAATAGTGACCCCAACATTTCTTTGAAACAAAAAAAGAAATTAATTAAGGAATTTCAAAAATACCATCCAGAAGCTTTCAATTGACATTTCTGGTGCAAGTAACTACAGTTTGTGAATATGTACAGTTCTCTGGTGGTTTTCTCCAGCTGCCATACTTACACTGCAAAGAAAAGCATTTTAAGTATAATCATGTTTGAAATATGGTAAAGATGATTTTAAAAAGGTATACAAGTCAATCTTCATGTATGCTGATTCACTTAATTATTATGCTACTAAAATCACTTACTAAATGCACTGCTATTATTAGTAACTAATATTAAGTTAATTTCCTTAGAATTTCTTACCCACAGGAAGGGCCTATTTCATACATGAGCTCTCTGAAGAAAGTACACACTTCCTTAGTATAATATAATTTTTAAGTTATTCCCTTAGACTGCTGTAATTTAAAAGACTGTGAATTATCAAAATGGGAAAAGATGTATAAAGAAGAAGAGTTAAAATGCTACAAATTTAAAATTCATAAATGCAAAGCTAAAACTATGATTTTCCTTCTCTAACTCTTCTTTAGTCAATAGAGTATTTGTGCTTTTTCCTTGCTGCTCATCCTTTCCTTTTTGTCCCCCTTCCTGTCTCTATCTTGCCCTCAGTCTTTTGTTTCTTTCTGTTAGTTTATGCTATGGCATCATTCTCTTACTGTGACTTAGGCTACAGATTCAAACATTCCTATTGAAAGTAACACAAAAAAAAGTTGTCATTTTAGTTTATGTCACTGATCTTAGGGAAACAAAAGCATAAATCATAGGTACCTAAAAATAAAATCTATTGAACTGATGTAATCAGTTTTATCTTTTTATATAAAAACTGTATCAGTTGTCTTGAACTTGACTACCTAGAATCAGAATTCTTTGAAAAGGTTAACAAAGGGTCTATGAAAAGGTTTCAGAGAGCAAAAGTACACTGTGCTTTCTGAAATTATGACAGGATTTTGTATATTTGGGTTTATGGCATTTTTCTAGGAATAGGTTCCATAGCTGTCACCAGATTTTCAAAGGGGATTGTGACCAAGAACGTTAAGAACACAGTGTTGATTTTCTCTTCACAAAATGTACTAAAGGCCTCTATGGATGTAAATTTATAAATTTTTCCAAATTTTGCTTTTATTTTGTTAACAAACTATTAGTTTAAGTATTCAGATATTAAAATAAGAGCATTAAACTAGATGACTTCTAAGCTTCTTCCCATTTTAAAAAAATAAACAAAAAACAAAGCACAATTCTATGACACAAGAAGATATAACTGCTCTAACCTGTGGATGGCTGTTTTTAGAGTTGGGGAGGAAATTAATAGAAGACCTGAGAAGGTGGCCCCAGAGAGACTAGGAAAGTATTGGAAACCTGCAGCCAAACCCTCTTCAATGGAAGAGGGAAAAGTCTCCTTCTTAGGAAAGGCACTACTAATGTTTAGCCTGACTTAGGTGGGGAATTGCTAGTCATCAGTCACTATATATGACACATACCCTGGCAAATGCTTTAAAGATATTACCATGTCCTTTTATCTGCTTCTCAGCTTATAACCTTAGGCAAATGTCTTCCCTTTGTGTTTCCATTTTTTGAAAAATTTCTAAACTAAAAATATATAAGCATAGATTTATAAGATTGGATCAGATGATATTGAAGGTACCTTCTTTGATGCATAGACATTTTACCTTCCCATGAACAGTGTATTAAATAAGGGAGAGTGTATATGGTATATTAACAAGAGTATAACCTCTGGAGTCAGAAACCTGGATTTATGACTTGATCTGTTTGGGTTTAAAGGGAAATATTAGCAAGTGAGCACCCTGGATTCAGGTTAAATACAGTTTAGTTTACTAGATTATTGGAAGATACTGTTGTTCCACATGCTTTTAATGTTTTATTATTTAAATTGAATGATATGTCATAATGTAGCTTATTTTGATCAATAATTATATATGCTACTATTCAATTTAACTTTTTCTTTTAAAGAAAAATTGACCTGTACTGAATGGTTTTTGAAGGCTCCAAATCATTAATTTCTAAAGAGAAATTTCAAACCTAGCAGTGCCACGCCACCTAATGACAGCTCCATAAATTACAGTTAATAGGCTTAAAAAATTAAATTTCTCAAGGTATAGTCTCAACTTTAAGCCAAACATTTTGGAGAGACTTTATATGCAAAGCATTTTTCCCCCTTGTAAATAAATAAAATCCAGTTCCAATGCCTGAAAAGCATATGTGCTGTTAGAATATTCATGAAAAGTTGTCATGAGAATTAAGACTGATTCATGATATGTGAGATATTGTTTATACTTCTTAGATTATTCACAGTCTCAAATATTACAAAGATTCTTTGCTGGACCAAACTTCAGTGAGGCTCTTGAACTTTTCTTGGGCCCATCTATGCATTTCCTTGTAAAATATAATTTTAGCAAGAACCTCAACCTCAATTCCTGATCATCCTCTACATTTGTTCAAGTTTCTCATCCTTGTCCATTTCCTAGGTGATGTCTGATTACCTGGGCTTTTTTTCTGTTGGTAATTTTCCATAAATTGTCCCTATGCTGCTATAGCAGAATACTTGAGACTTGGTAATTTGATAAAAAAAAAAAAATAGATTTGTTTTTTGCAGTTCTAGAAGCTAGGAGGTCCAAGATCAAGGAGCCAGCATTTGGCAAAGAACTTTGCATCATCTGATGACGGAAGATAGAAGAGAAGAGAGCACAAAGGGTAGAGCAAAGGAGCTAAATTTATTCTTTTTTTTTTTTTTTTTGACAGGCAGAGTTAGACAGTGAGAGAGAGAGACAGAGAGAAAGGTCTTCCTTCTGTTGGTTCACCCCCCAAATGGCAGCTATGGCCGGCATGCTGCGCCGATCCAATCTGAAGCCAGGAGCCAGCTGTTTCCTCCTGGTCTCCCATGCGGGTGCAGGGGCCCAAGCACCTGGGGCATCCTCCACTGCCTTCCCAGCAGAGAGCTGGACTGGAAGAGGAGCAACGGGGACAGAATATGGCACTCCAACCGGGACTAGAACCCAGGATATCAGCGCCACAGGTGGAGGATTAGCCAAGTGAGCCATGCCACCGGCCCTTAATTTATTCTTTTATCAGGCACCCAATCATTGTATAAGTAACTCACTCCTGTGATAATGGCATTCCTCACCAGGAAGGTGAGGATTAAGTTTTTAACACATGAAATTTCGGGAAACATCCAAACCATCGCAGACTCTCATCCCACTTCCCAATTCTTGGCTATCAATTCCCACTTGCTCATGCTGTACTTGAAGTTGAGCCTGATATCTGAGAGAAGCAGAAAAGAGAGATTTTCCACCTGCTGATGGCAACTTTATCCACTGTGCCACAACGCTGGTCCAGGTCTTTTCCTTTCATTTCCCCAAATGGTCACAACAGCCAAGACTGGGCCAGGCTTAAGTGAGGAGCCAGTAACTCCATCTGAGTCTTCTACATGGGTAGAAGGAATTCAAGTACTTGAGTCATCATCTGCTGCTTCCCAGATGCATTAGCAGGAAGCTGGATTGGAAGCAGAGCAGCTGGGACTTGAACCGACACTCTGTTATGGAATGTGGGCATCAACACCTGCCAACAGAGAGGAATTTTTGAGAGCATTCCTAGAAATGGAACTGGGATGCAGGAAGAGATGGGTTTGATAAAAGGCACTTTATACATATTCATCTCAGGATGTGTGTTTATGCATACATGAAAAGTTGTATATTGCAATGTGTGGGTATATATTTATTATTGTTCTATATGACAGTCAGTATCCCTGATTAGTAAGGGTACGTGTGCTGGAGTGTAGTTTGACATGTGTGTAGAAAGGTAGAACCTGGAGTGATAATAAATCTAAGAAAGAAGGATAAGTATTCAAAAAACAGTAGGCAATAAAAAAACAAGGAAAACTTAAATTTAAATAATTATAGAAGCATTAAGTAGTAACCAAAATGCTGAACTATAGAATTTTATAAATTGTCCATCTCAATATTTTTCAAGTTGTGTTCATTCACATTTTCAATATATGTAAATAGATATTTATTCAATTTTTATAAACAGAATTACTAGTTACACAGATACTTTGTTCCAAAATATTAGTCCTAAACTAAATTTAAAATGATTTCTAGTGACAATCTTAATAGTTCTTATTTTGGAAATAAAGCACAACAAATAAAAGAATAGCTATATAAAATCTTTCTAGATGTATCAATTTTAGTGATTCGCTAATGGTGAGTTTTTAGCATCCTTGGCCTATTTAAAAAAACAAACAAACAAACATTTATTTGAAAGGCAGAGAGAGAGAGATCTCCTATCAATTGGTTCACTATCCAAATGCCCCCAACATCCAGGGTTTGGCCAGGAGCCCAGAATTCAGTTGAGGTCTCCCACGTGAGTGGCAGGAACCCAAGTATTTGAACATCACCTTCTGACTCCCAGTGCATGCATTAGCAAGAAGTTTGAAAAGAAGGACCTGGTCCAGCGTTGTGGCACAGTGGATTCAGCTGCCATCTACGACTCAGGAATCCCATATTGGAGCACTGATTTGAGTCTTGGCTGCTCTGCTTCCAATCCAACTTCCTGTTAATGTGACTGAGGAGGCAGCAGAAGATGGCCCAAGTACTTAGGCAGTTCTTTTAGAAAGGTTTTTAGGGTGCTGCTGTGATCTGTTTTCTTACCAAGTTTTTATTTTGTCCCCAGTCGTAAAATACTGACTTGACTAGATACTGTGGTTACTGTTGCTTAAGATCTATTCTAATTTCCTTGTAATGTCTCTTCCTAAACTTTCAGAGACTAGGAAGCCAAAAATCCTCAT